ATCAAGAATCTTCCACCGGGCGATTATAGCCTCGATCTTCATTTCGTTGACATTATAAACATTAATGGGCCCAAAGGCATGCGGGTTTTTAACGTTTTTATGCAAGATGAGAAGGCAAGTGACCTTTATTTATCGCTTTTACTGTTCTATAACGAGTAAGCTTGTTGGTTACAATTAGAGCTATTCTTACTGCAGATTCTGTCTGATTTTGACATTTTCTCGATTGTCGGATCGGAAAAACCTTTGCAATTGGTTGGTGTTAGAGTTGCAGTTAAAGATGATGGAATTCTTGTCTTGAAGTTTGAAGGGATACATGGACATCCGGTAGTTAGTGGAATCTGTGTTAGAAGAGCACCTAAAACTTCGGGTATTTTTTTTTCTCGGATTAATTCTTTGAGTTTGTAGAAAGAGATTTATGATTTTTTATAATAATATTTAATCGATTGCAGCATCTCAGCTCGATCGTGAATTTTTCGTTTGCAAGAACTGTTCAACTGAAATCGAATTACCTTCAGCCCAGGTATGGCATAAAAGTTAACGTGTGCTTCGACTAAGTTAAAGGGCAAGATCCCAAATTTAGTGTCGTTTTTTTCGTAGTTAGTTATTCATTGTTTGGATCGTGCAGAAAAAAGTTATGCGAATGAAATCAATAGCAAAGTACGAGAAAAATATACAAGAGTTGAGAAATATGTTGAAGCAGAAGACTGACGAGTGTTATCAGTCTTGGATGTCTTGGACTTCTGCTAACGAACAGCTCGAGAAGGTCAGAATGGACCTCGATAATAAGACGTTCAAAGCATATTCCCTTGGTATGATTTACAATTGCCTAATTCAATTTTTTTATTTTCTAAGTTTTCCATTTTAGATATGCATAAATTTTCTTAACATGATTGAATAGTGTGTGTGTGTGTGTGTGTGTGTGTGTGTCTATATATATATATATATATATATATATATAGATGGTGTAAAAAACACAGAAAAATTTAATGTTATTGGATATTTTACAGACCAAACATTAGAGAAGCAAGCCGACAAGCTTAGGGACATCTCTAGCAAGTATGAGCACGACCAGAAGTCCTGGACAGTTGCAGTTAATACTTTAGAGCAGAAAGTAAAGGTAATCGATTTTTCAGTCACTTTTCCTAATTATAATGCAAAACTCGAAAAACCCGAACGCGAAACCCGAAACCCGAAGTCGAAAATAAATCATTTGTTTCTATACATGGAGTTCAGTTTTATTTGCAATATTTAAAGCAAAGTTGATATTTTTATTTGTACAGGTGATGAAACGAGAGCACTCTCAGCTTTCTCGTGAAGCACACGAATGCGTTGACTCAATCCCCGACTTGAATAAAATGGTTTTCGCAGTTCAATCACTTGGTAAGCTCCCCATATTCCAATAAAATACTACTTTTTTTTTTGTATTTGTTTATTTTATAAATTTAACGTGTATTACTATACAGTTGACCAGTGTGAAGAACTCAAAGTGAAGTACAACGAAGAACAAATCAAGAGACGGAAGCTCCATAACCAATTGCAGGAGGCAAAAGGTTTATTTTTGTCATTTCGAACTTAAAAACGTGAACAACTATTTCCTTGGTTAGATTCAAGATTTAATCTTTTTGAATTTTTCAGGAAATATAAGGGTATTTTGTCGGTGCCGTCCCTTAAGCAAGACAGAGGTTGTTAGTGGATGTGCATCAGTGATCGACTTCGATTCTGCCAAAGATGGAGAACTTGGAATTCTAAGCAACAACTCTAACAAAAAAACCTTCAAATTCGATCGCGTTTACACTCCAAAAGATGATCAAGGTGCTTCACACACACACACACAGATATACATATATATGTATATATATATATATATATATTTACTTTAATTGTTAAAAAGGTGTTCATGTTATCAAAATTAGCAACCCCCCAACATAATGCAACTTTTTGTAGCATTACTACCCCCTAAAACCACGCCATTTAGGGGGGGTATGTGCAAAAAAAATGCATTGTAGGGGGGTTTTGGTAATTTGATAGAACACATGGTATTAAATGCAATAAACACTATACGGGTTATATATATATATATATATATATATATATATATATATATATATATATATATATATATATACACACACACATATGTGTGTGTGTGTGAGTCTTTTACTAAGTCCTTTTTTTTGTTTGTTTGAACAGTTGATGTCTTTGCTGATGCTGCGCCTATGGTAATATCTGTACTAGACGGATACAATGTATGTATATTTGCATACGGACAAACAGGAACGGGAAAAACATTCACAATGGAGGGTACTGAGGTCAACCGAGGAGTCAACTACAGAACCCTCGAAGAACTGTTCAAGATTGCCAATGAAAGAACCGAAACATATACTTACAATATTTCCGTTAGTGTCCTCGAAGTCTACAACGAACAGATACGGGATTTGCTCGCTGTAGAAACCTCAAAAAAGTAAGTATTTCCTCAATATTTGAAATAGTTCATCGCATTTTGTCTTATATAAATTATATGTATTCTTGTCTGATTTATTACAAGGTTGGAGATAAAACAAGCTTCTGAAGGGTTTCATCATATACCCGGGATTGTGGAAGCAAAAGTCGAAAACACACAGCAAGTGTGGAATGTTCTACAGGCTGGAAGTAGTGCAAGAGCCGTTGGATCGAATAATGTCAATGAGCATAGTAGTCGCTCTCATTGGTATAACGGCTATTTTTTTTTTTCCAAATAAGATTTATATGGCTATATAAATAAAGGGTGTTATTTAATTTATTTATTTTTTAAATCAGCATGCTTTGCATAGCGGTAAAAGCAAAGAATTTGATCACGGGGGAATATACGAAGAGCAAGCTTTGGCTTGTAGATTTGGCAGGTAGTGAAAGGCTTGCAAAGACTGATGTGCAAGGTGAAAGGCTTAAAGAAGCTCAGAACATTAATAGGTCACTTTCGGCTCTCGGTGATGTCATCTCTGCTTTAGCTAATAAAAGCAGCCATATTCCATACAGGTAAATTTCTAAACATCTAATTTCAAAACTAATTTCGATTCCACTACGGAAAATGGAACAAAAAAAATATTTGTTCCAAAGTTGAAAGTTTTCGAATCAGAATCGACGTAATTCAAGAATTCATCCCGATTTTCACCCGTAATGTAAAATATTTTATAGTATTTTCTTTTTGGAAAAAAAAATTTCGAATTTCGAATTTTTTTTTCTTCACTATTGTTATTTAATGGTTATTATTTACAGGAACTCGAAGCTGACTCATATACTACAGGATTCATTAGGTAATGGATTGATTAATTGTTTCCTTAGCATCCGACAAATTACTTCAATTTTTTTTTTTATTATTTTAAATACATATAATAATGATTCTTCGTTTGTATAGGTGGTGATTCGAAAACATTGATGTTTGTACAAATCAGTCCGTCGGATCACGATTTAAGCGAAACGCTTAGTTCGCTAAATTTTGCAACCCGAGTTAGAGGGGTCGAATTGGGTCCCATTAGAAAACAAATAGATACAAGTGAGCTTCAAAGGATGAAAACAATGGTATGTCCTTTTTGCAAATATATCGAAACTCGCTATTTCTTATGTATTTGTCTAATATGTATTATATATTTTGTTATTGTTATTATAGCTTGAGAAAGTAAGGCAAGAATCGAGGTCGAAAGACGAGTCTGTGAAAAAGCTCGAAGAAAACTTGCACAACTTAGAAAACAAGGCCAAAGGAAAAGACCAGGTTTACAAGAACCAATTGGATAAAATAAAAGAGCTCGAAGGACAAATCGAGTTGAAGGCATCGTTACATTGCCAATCCGAGAAACAAGTTTTAAGTATTTCGGAGAAATTAAAAGCCAAGGAAGAATATTGTTCCACACTTAAACAGAAGGTAGAAATTGGACTTCATTTTCAACGATTTATGTTTACTAATAATATTCTCGTGTTTTTTTTCTAATCTATTATTGTATTATTTTTATTTTTCGTTTTTGAAGGTGATGGATTTAGAGAACAAGCTCAAACAACAAGAAGAAATTCAGTCTATAACTTACCAAAATAAGGTTTCTAAAAATTTATTATCATATACCGCAATTTTCAGCGTTTTTTCTTCTTGGTTTATTTTATATATATATATATATATACACACACACACATGTATATATGTATATATATGCTTCTTATATTTGTCATCCTAATGTAATACAGGTAAATGATCTTGAAAACAAGCTAAGGGAGCAAGTACAACAGTCTGAGTCCGCTTGTATAATCCTTCAACACAAGGTTGCAAACGTTGTTATTATTTGCGTTAATAAGGCAATGAGATTCATTGACATTATTATAATGATTTAAAAAGTATTAATACTAAATAAATTGTTCGTCTTTTTAGGTCAAAGAGCTCGAAGGAAAGTTGAAAGAACAGGAAGACAACCTAGAGTGTCTCTCACTTAACCAAAAGGTGACTCTTTTTTATGTTTATAAATTATAACTAACGATTTATAGGTGCACTGCGCGCAATATGATCGTATATGTAATTCACAATTTGGCTCAAAAGTGCTAACACACATTGTATTATTTTGCTAATGGCAGATCAAAGAGCTCGAAGATAAAGTGAGAGAGCAAGAAAAGCAGCTCGCAGAAAATGCCAGAGAGCAAGAAAAGCAGCTTGAAGATAAAGTGAGAGATCAAGAAAAGCAGCTAACTGCAGAAACACCCTTTTCGTTAAAATCCACACCGGTCGAAGAAAGCAAGCAATCACTCAAAGAAGAGAGTATCACAAACGATTCCGAGCATCGAGTTTTAAGAAGTTTGAGTCATCAAATAAACCGAAGAGGGAGCCAAATTTCGTCACACACAGTAGTAGTGAAGGAAAGCGAATCTCTTCAAGAAATTCGGAAGAAAAGATTATCAAGAAACAGTGAGGTCGAAAACAATAGTAGTGTTGTAGTAAGTGACAACAACAACAACAACAACAACAACAAAATCAGGCACTCGGATCCTCCAAGACCCGTTTCTCGAGTCCCAAGGGCAACTGCTAAGCCCGTTGTGGCCCCACAGAGGCCCGTAGCGGGGCCCGTTGCTCGAACCAAAACGAGCAGGGATCCAGTGCAGGCGGTCAAGGAGAGGGATAGCAAGAAGAGAATGTGGTCAAGATAAGTCAAAAAACTCTCTAATATTGCATGACTAGAAATACTGATATATACATAGCTTTGACTTTGTGTTTGACTTTGAGTTTGACTTTGTTGATGATGATTCGGATGTGGGGTTTGTGTAGTGTTTTCTGTTGTGTCACACTGTGTGTAATGCCTGTAGAGAATTAGTGTTTTTATCAGCTACAAGTGTGTGTACAAAGTACAACACCTCATTGAAATATGCCTTTGTAGCTGAAAGTTATTGTTGTTACTGAATTGGTTGTATTTGTCATGTTTGTGTTTTCTGAATTTTCTTTAGCAATATATAAATTTGTCTTGAAGTTTTATGGATTCAATATATTTAGCAATTTGAACAAATAGAAAGAATTTGATTAATTTAAAGGACTCGGACACATTAGCTATGTAGCATGTATTTATAAAAATGGTCTTGTTGGAACCGACCCGTATAAATATATTATATTTTATAATTAATCTATATTTAAAAATCAATTTATGATTTCATTTATCAAACTTTCAGTTTTTATCGTGCCTATTCTAATTTACCCATTTTTTACTATTTCATTTTTTTGAATCTCATTTCTCTTATGTAAAATCTATCACTTGCAATCTTGCCTTTTGAACTTCACTTATCATAGAAGTTAAATATAATTAATTATATACTTTTATTATTCACTTTATATCACTTGTAGAATAGCTCAAGTGTATATTTAATTTCAAGCGACTTTCCTAAACGTAGCAGTTGAAAGAACCAAATTACGAGTATTACTTTAGTTTTCTCTATATATTTGTTTACTTTATTTCTTTGCATATTTTTTTTTTCTTCAAATAAAATTAAAATGTCCCTTATAATATATCAACTTAAATGTACACGTGAATGTGATTTAGCAAATAATATTACATTTTGTAGTCAATGAATTCTTTAATTTATTTGGAAAAAAAATATTTTTTTTGAATCATAAGTAATTTCATATTAAGTACATAAATAATATATAATAAATTTTATATGCATTTATTTTGGGTCTTGAGAGTCAGTTCCCAACACATGTAAGATGTGTTGTAAAAAAAAGTAAAAACGCTCCCCCAAAGTTAGGAAAAGATTTTTCCGCCTCTCTCCCCTTCTCGGCCACGGAGGTGCTTTGGGCAGCGGCTTCTCCTCTTCCGGTGGGCGGACTTGATCGGTGGCAACACCATTAAACTCTTCTTAACGGCGCGTTCAATTTGAGTGTGATTTTGTGTTCTGTCGTCGGTTATGGGAGTGTCGTTTTGTCATCTTCTTTGGCGGATCTAGGGTTTTGGACGACGGCTTGGTTGTGTTGGTGTGAGAGATTGCTCGCTGCTTGGTGGGGTGGTTGGATCTACGAATTCTAGGGCTTTGGCCATGCTTCGGTGGCTAGGATTTGGATCTAGTGGGCGGTTTTCGGCGGCCCTAAGGCGGTGCACCAGGATCCGGCGGCCGCGAGTTGACGGCCGTTGGCGGCGTGGGCTCGAGGTTAGGGTTCGGTGGGCTTTGGCGGCTAGGGTTTTCGGTGGGCTTTGACGGCTAGGGTTTGGGTAGACTAGGGTTAGGGAGTCACTAGGGGTTAGGATTTGGTGTGAGGCGCCTCATCGGCGAGAAAAAAGGCCAGGGGCGGGGGTGGAAGAGGAGCGAATACGGCTCCCCCCGTCGCGATTGCTGCAGAAAAATTCCTACAGAAAAGACGACAGAGACTATCCCACATGCCGAAACATCATTGACATGTGAAATACGACGTCCGACGACGGTCCCAACATCTGGGGAGGGTGAACGAATGAATTGGTCCCAATTCTTTAAAGGCGCCCCTCCCCCAGCGGAGGAATTGGCACTAGATCCGGTGAAGGGTGTCGATGACACAAACATCCTCCAATTTGAGGAAGAAGACGAGGTTGATTGGGGCACGAATGGAGTGTTCTTGGCTATTGGTTACTTTTCGGGGAAATTCTCCGGGATTGATGCTATACGTGAGATCAAGACGCGATGGCAGGTCCCGGTGAAATTCGAAATCCATCCTACGGGGTGAATTGTGTACAAATTCACAACGGACCAAGATAGGATGAATGTGGTGGAGACGTGGATGTTTGAACATGGCTTAGCGAAGTTATATATCCGAGCCATGCCGGACTTCTTCAACTTCGACATCAATGATATGATGTTTGTGCCGGTGTGGGTGATTTTCCGCAACATCTCAACGAAAATCTACAACAAAAAGGCGTTGAGTAAGATCGTTCATAAAATCGGCAAACCAATACAAATGGACAAAGTGGCGAGTGAAATGGGACGGTTGGGGTTTGCCCGACTCCAAGTTGAAGTGGATGCGCCCAAACCCTTACGACGATCGCCTACGTTGATCAATGTGAAAGGTAAAAGCTATGGGGTCCTTATTGAGTATAGCTATGAACCGGTATTTTGTTCGAAAGGCCAAACCTTTACGCATAACACGGACCAATGTCGGGGGGAGGCGGTGTTGAAGAGAGGGCGGAGCCGGAAGCCCAAACCGGTGGTGAGTGTTGCACAAGATCCACCAGTGACAACAGTTTGGGCGGGCATGCGCACGGTAATTGAAGATGACACGGTGGTGGAGACTGTGGCGGGGACAAAAAAAGACACCGTGGTTGGCGATGAGGGAGTCTCGGATGATGCATCCACCGACTGTTACGAAGTGGATAACGATGACGAGGGTTCTTTGGTGGAGTTTAAATCCCTTGACTCTCTGAAAACCCCGGGAACAACTCCAAAATCGATGATTACCACCAAGAAAAAGTTCATCCCCCCGGATGCGATCCTTCTACCCAAAGAAGAGGATGCTAGCACGGGACTGTCGACCTAGCAAGATTCGGATCGAGAGGACTGAGAGGAGAAAGAGCCGCAGGGGGGCCTCGTTCCCCCACGGTCGAAATGATCATTAGTTGCTGGAATGTAAGGGGTTGCTCAACTCTCTCACACATAAGGAGGTCGTGGACCTCATTGGGAAGCAAAAACTTGTGGTGTGGCTTACTAGAAACGAAGATTTGGAACCCGGGAACCCTGACCTCTATCATGGGTCGATGTTTGTATCATTGGGAGAACTTCAACAACTTTTATCTCCACACGGCAGGCCGAATTCTAATTGCGGAACCTGGACGTGGCTCGATTGGAAGTGGTTGACGTGACGGCATATGTGATCCATTGCAAGGTAACACGTATTGTCACCCAACGGCCATACTTTGTTAGTTTTGTCTATTGGCCTTTTCATGCCAGTTATGCGACGGCTGCTGGGGCAGTCACTTGTTGGGTTTGGGACGAGCCTTACCTCGCCATGGATTTGCTTGGCTGACTTCAATGTGGTGCTCAAACCCACGGAAAATTCGGGAGGTAATGTGCTTACCCCTTATTTGCTGAATGATATACATGAATGCTTTCATCAATGTGGATTGGAAGATTTGCCCTCAACGGGCTTCCACTACACTTGGACAAACCAAACGGTGTGGAGCAAACTCGATCGTACGCTTGTGAACCAATCTTGGAGGGATGTATTTGAGGGTAGTTCGGCACAATTCCTCCTTTTTGGGGCGGTGTCGGAGCACCCTCTGATAATTGTGAAACTTTGAGGAACAGAGCACCCAGCCTTTCGGTCTTTTCAGTTTTTCAACATGTGGACACAACATGGAGATTTCCAATGACAAGGGAGGTTTGGTCGTCCTGCCACCCGGGGAGCCGCCAATGGCATGTATGCCAAAATCTCAAGGATCTTAAGCATCCACTTAAGCGCCTCAACCGACGAGAGTTTGGGCATATATAGGAGCGGTTCAAATGAACGGATATTGAACTTGAGGAAATCCAGCAAGCTTACCACAACGACCCCCACAATCCGTAGTTACGTGTGGAGATGTTGGCCAATGTGGAGAGATTTCGGTTTTTGGGGAAAGCGGAGATAGCTTTTTCTACCAAAAGGCGAAACTTCACTATTTACGGGACATTGATCGGACAACCAAATTTTTCCATGGGATTTCCAAACGGAATAATATTGTCTCGCTTTGCAAGGAAGACGGCTCGGTTACTAATTCTCGGGATGAAGTCCTTGCCGAATTCGAGACTTTTTATAAAAAAATCTTGGGTACTCGGGTTCCGTGTGAACCGGTCGACCCACAAATCATTGCCACCGGTCCGGTTCTTGGAGAGGATGATTGGGCAGGTTTGATGCAGCCAGTGACGGGGGTGGAGATTCAGGAACCCCTTTTCGATATTTTAGACGATAAAGCGCCGGGCCCGGATGGATATACGGCCCTCTTCTTCAAAGCCGCATGGACGACGGTGGGACCCCTCTTTACGGAAGCGGTTTTGAAGTTCTTTCGAAGTGGTGAGTTGCTCATACAATGGGACAACACGGTCTTGGTGTTTATCCCGAAATCGGCCCAAGCACAAACGGTGGGGGATTTCCGACCCATCGCCTGCTGCAATATCATCTATAAGGTGAGTGCAAAGGTCCTTACGAAACGCCTCAAGAAGGTTCTACCATCCATCATCGATAAAGCCCAATGGGCTTTTGTGGGTGGTCGATCGATCAGGACAACATTTATATGGTTGAACAACTTATGAGGGGATAGGAACGCAAATGTATTTCGTCCCGGTGTTTACTCAAAATGGATTTACGAAAAGCCTACGATTCCGTAAATTGGGATTTTCTACGGTCTATGTTGACGGGACTTGGATTCCCGGACACGGTGATTCGGTGGATTATGTAGTGTGTGACATCGGCCTCCTATACGGTGTCGGTTAATGGAGTGACGAGGGGTTTCTTCCCGGGATGACAGGATTACGACAAGGGTACCCGTTATCACCTTATATATTTGTTATTTGCATGGAGAATCTATCCCGACAGCTGCATGTGAGAACGACGGAGCAAGAGCTCAACTATATATCATCCGATGTGTCACTTGCACAAAGTGACGCAACTTATCTTTGCTGACGATTTGATGCTTTTCTCGAGAGGTGATGTTGCATCTGTTCGCACGCTTGCCACGACGGTGCTTGAGTTTGGGCGAGCATCGGGGCTCCACGTGAATAACTTGAAATCCAACTTATTCCTTGTTGGAGTCCATGTGGCCGACCGTACGACTATTGAGGAGAAATTCCACTTTGCTACTGGAACGTTCCCCTTTGCTATTTGAGCATGACATAGGGGTTTGAACGGGTCATACGCTCTCATACGCCAGCCGATTGGAGACCTTGAAGGCAGTTGTTCAAGGTACGTGTTGTTATTGGCTCTCGATCTTTTCTATCCTGATTACGGTC